ATGTAACCGATTTCACATTTAGTGAAATCGGTTGCGCTAAATCTTTGTTTCATAAAATACATAGGTGAAACCAGTTGCACATTTGGAGCAACTTGTTGCTCCAAATCTTTGCCTTATAATTAACACTGCTGCAACATGTTACACATCTGTTGTAGCATGTTACACTAATTTCTCAATATACCACCTTAATTCAAATCCTTCAAGTCTTCCATACTCATGTGCTTCTTCAACCTCTTGAACACTTTAATTGTTACTCCTTTGGTTAACAAATCAACCATTTGGTCTTCACTTTTGCAATACCCCAATTTTACTTCACTTATAAGTTCTCTCAAGTAGTGAAATCTCACATGCATATGCTTACTTTTCATATGTGCAATGTAATTCTTAGCAAGGTTTATAGTGGAAACAATGTCTATCATCAAAGTCATAGCTTCATACTCTTTGTTGCACAACTCCTTCATAAAATTAATCAACCATACAACTTTATACGCACACATGGGCATTGCAATCTACTCGGCCTCGCATGAAGAGAGTGCCACAACTAGTTTCTTATTAGAACACCAAGAGATTGGTGTTTCTCCATACGTAAATATGTATCTAGCAGATTATTTCTATCATCTTTATCTCCATATCAGTTTGAGTCGGTATAGCCGAGCAATTTGCAGCTTCTACCTTTATCCATTGTGGGAAATAGAATTTCGCAACCAAAAGAACCTTTGACGTATCTTAGAATTCTCTTGACTGCTTCCAAGTGTAAATCCTTTGGCTTCCATATAAATCTAATCAACTTGCCAACACTAAATTCCAAGTCTAGTCTCGTGTTGCACAAGTACCGCAATGATCCAACCAGCCTCCTATACTGCATTGGATTAATATCTTGCTCGTCTTCATTATTTGATAGTTGTAATCTTGGCATGAGCATCCCCTTTTTGGACTTGTGAAACCGAATTCCAAGGAAATATGTCATGTGATCAGGATTGGTCATTTCAAACTCCATTTTGAGGCGTATAGGGTGGCACTACCTCATGTATAATGCCCTCATGATCATAAAATTTCCCGAAATTGTTTGATACATATTCACCTCCACCATCTATTTTTAGAGTTTTGATTTTGTGATCACTTTGTCTTTCCACCATGAATTTAAACTTCTTGAATACTTCCAGAACCTCGTCTTTTCTTTTAATCAAGTAAGTCCCTAACTTTCTACTAAAATCATCAATTAAAGTGACAAAGTACCTATTGTCTCTGATTGAGTCCACTTGCATCGGTCCATATACATATGAATACACCATCTCAAGATGATACTTGGTTTTGCATCATGTATCTTTACTAAAGTTGCCCCGGTGTTTTTTGTCCTGCACACACTCTCCACATACTTCAGTTGGCATGTTGATCGATGGCAACCTCGTAACCGTGCTATTTTTCTGCATAACATTGAGGTCTCTAAAATTCAAATGCCCAAGCCTATAGTGTCATATTCATTCTTCTATACTAGAAGCCATTGTGATACACCTATGCTCCCTTACTTTCAATCCAATTTGGAAAATTTTGTTTTGAGCCATATGGGACTTTAGGATCAAACTCTCATTTTCATCCATAACTTGCATCACTTTATTTTTCATGTGAATCTTGTAAATTCCTTTCAAGTAATTTCCCAATTTTTAAATGATTACATTTTATTCCTGTAATATACATCACATCTTTAATCAAGGAATGCTCATCATTCATCTTTTTGATTGATACACCGCCAATACCCTTTGTTGCAAAAGTGATATCATCCACGAATTTCACATTTTTCTTCAACGCTTGATTGATCTTAACAAACCAATCTTTCCTTGTCGACATATGTGTTGAACACCCTGAGTCAAGGTACCATTGATTGCAGCATTATGCATCTTCTCGTGTTGTCGCCATCATGTTTTCAAGGGATTGTACCCGGTTTTGGATGCATTTTCCTGCATTGTTTTCTACTTCAGCAATCACCATTAACAGTGTGCTCTCATCATCTTATTGCCTTGCAAACTTTGCTTCAGCTTCTTATTCATCATTCTTGTTGGCATGACATTCGTGAGCAAATTGTCTAAGCTTTTGACAATTGTAACATTGAACATTGCTCTTATTATTTCATCTTCCTCCCCTTCCTTTATTATTGCCACCTTTATAATTGTTTGATCCCCCACCTTTGTTGCCGCTTCTTTCACCCTTTTAGAATGTTGAATTTTTGTAATTTTGGAAGTCTCTCACACCATTATCGCGGTAGTTTCCTCCACCTATACTCATGGACCAATTTTCCTTCACTTTCTTGTCTTTTCCAATGAAATGAGCTTGCAAAGCAACTTCAGCCTTTGTTTTGTCAATATTCCTCTCCCCTATTCTCTATTCATGAGCCTCAAGAGAACTTTGAAATTCTTCTTTGCTCATAGTTGAAATATCCTTGGACACTTCAATGGTAACCACTACATTATCGAGTTTTGACGTCAACGATCTCAATATTTACCAATCACATATTGCTCGGTGATTGTCTCTCTGTAAGCTTTCACTTGATTTACGAATCTTGTGATTCTTGAGTAAATTCATTAATGGTTTCCTTCTCCTCCATTTGAATTCACTCCAACTTCCTCTTGTGAGTTTGTAACCTCGCCACCTTTGCTTTATCAGCTCTTGCATAGCTTTTCTCCAAGATTTCCCAAACTTGCTTTGAGGATGTGCAATCACCGGCCTTCTTAAAATTATCAGCATCAACAGATCAATGAATCAGATATAAAGCTTTGAAATCTTTCGACTTCTCCTCCTTGTGCGTAGTTCTATATGCAGTCATTGCACCTTCTACAAGTGGATTAACATCGTTCTAGATCACTTCAAGAACATTTTGGTAATCAAGCAACATCTTGTGATAATTCTTCGCATCGAGAATTGGGAGATTTACAGGGATACGTTCATTGGAGATGGAAAGCATTTTCGCACGCTAAGTGTTTGATCAAAGAATCTAGCTCTTGATGTCAAATATTGAGTAAAACCTCAATCACAAGAACAACAGTGAATAATGATAAGATAGAGAGGATGAGAGAATTAGTTAGAATTAGTGTGAAAATATGACATTCTAACATTAATGATCCAACATGAATATTTAAACACATACAAAATAATACAGCTAACCAATTAATGAGAAAAACAAACTTTTCAGACATGCAAATGTGCAACCGATTGCGCTAAATCTTTGTTTCAGAAAATACGTAGGTGCAACCACTTGCACATTTGGAGCAACCTGCTGCTCGAAAGCCCTACCTTGTAATTAACACTGCTATAACTTGTTGCATTGACTTGAATTACACTAATTTCTCAACAATAATTTTTTTTTAAAGATAATTTTTTTGTATGATTTTCGTCATATTAAAAAGTTTAAATTATTTGAGTTGCATACCAACGTGGAGGCATGGACGAATCCATTTGATGGCTTATTGTGGCTATAGCCACACCATAATTTTTTCTTTCTTTTATATATAAATTATACGGTCATCAAATTGATGAGGGTGAATCTCTGATTTATAGGTAGATAATTGTGTCACTAGTCAAACTGCATGACTAAACCGCATTAAATCAGATAATCCGGTTGAATAATTCAGATAATTCTATTGAATAAATTGATCACTATAATAAAACTACATAATATTAAATTGGTCGAATTAGATGACTCGATCTCTATACAAATCTCAACACTTATCATATTTCAAAATTTTAAAATATCATAAGTTTACACGTTTATTCTTTAAATTCAAATTTTAAACATAGTCTTCACACACAACAAAATAGTCCATAATATAAAAATCAAAATAAATTTTAAACAATGTTTAATTGAAATATAAACTGAATAAAAAATAATTACAGTGTTTAATAAATTTAATTTTTTTTAAAAAATATTCTAAATAAGTTTTGAACGAAGTCTACTTATATTTTAAATTTATTTTATTTAAAAATTATCAAAATGACGTTGTTTTGTTTGAAAAAAAATAAGCATTTAATCCGTCTATTTTCTAAAATCTCCAATTCATCGTTTTTTATCGATTCTGGACGGTTCTCACTTGTTTAATAGCTTATTCGATCCAGCAATCATATCATACTGACGAACCTTTCAATTCTCAGTTCGACTGGCTGGTCTAGTCTAATTTTTGAAACATTGTCACCACCTCTCAAATTTCTCTCTCACTTTTATATTTGTTAATCTCTCATATTTGATAGACAATTTTATTTATAAATCTATCAATCTAAACAATATTATTTTTATTTTTAATATAATTTATTTCATATTTAGCCCACAAATATATAAGGTTTAGATCCGCCCCTGCGTGAAAGCATGACTCAAGATTTACAAAATACTAACAAAAATATTTTCAAATTGTCTATCAAATGAAGTTCTAACAAGAGAGTTGAACTCAAAATTTTCATAATATAATAAAACTCCATATCAATTTAATCAACCTTCATTTTAACAAAACATTCAATTTAACCTTAAATCATTTTATCTTTAAATATGATTCATAACAAAACATTATCACTTTATTTAATCCTAGTAGCTAATTTAACTTAATGAAACAAAAACCATTGTTTTGTTCCATGTTGTGGTTGTTATTTAATCTTAAATATACAATATCTCACATTGCCGTAAATGGATTGATTCAAGTTTGTGTTGTTTACAATCTCAAAGGATGATGGGCTCTCCGTTGAAAAGAGCAGAAGAATAGGTCGAATTAAAAGCAAAGGACATTTCCGGCAATCCACTCAAAAAAATAACGACCATGCAATCTTCAATTCTACCTTAACTACCTAACAAACTAATTTTACAGTTTAATGAAACATACTTTGTCTATAATCTATATCTCCTCACAAGCCACCACGTGCCAAGATTTCATTGGTTATTGTTCCAAGAGTCATGCTTTATATAAACAAGGAATTAATCCATTAAACTACTTTACCGTTACAGTTACAGAGAGGATTACATTACAATGACGACCATAGCTGAGCCTGTAACTGCAACCGCAACTCCAAATGAACCCAATAAGAAAAACAGAATTCAGGTTTCCAATACTAAGAAACCACTTTTCTTTTACGTCAATCTCGCCAAGGTATGTAATGTCAGGATCAAATTCATTGCACTCGTATATCCTAAATTTATGTGAATGTCTCTGCAAAAATCTCGAGATTATTGATTTGGATAGAAAGATGGTCCTTACGTCGTAAAATTTGTTGTACACGGAATAAGCTAGGTGAAAACATTATATAATGTTGAAATAATTTCTCCTTTGATGCAGAGATACATTCAACAGCACAATGAAGTTGAGCTTTCTGCTCTTGGAATGGGTATTTCTTTTTCTAAATATTTTCATCTAATTATTAATTGTATTTTTCTCATTGTTAGTTATTAGTTTGTATAATAAATTTTTTTTAAATGATGACATGAATTGGCACAGCTATAGCTACAGTTGTAACAATCGCGGAGATTTTGAAGAACAATGGACTTGCCACTGAGAAAAGTAAGGTTTCTTCTTGTTTGCTATTGTTTCTGTCATTCTTCATATGATGATTTTAGCAATTCTAACCAATCAATGAATGTTGTTGAGATGAAACAGAAGTATTGACATCAACAGTTGGCATGAAGGATGAGAGCAAAGGCCGGCTCGTCCAGAAGGCAAAGGTAAGATGATCCTGATGAAACAAAGGCGTTCAAATTTTCAGTTATTCTCGTTCAAGCGCGGTCTTGAACCGATTTTTTTGTTGGTATTTTGTAGATTGAAATAGTGTTGGGTAAGTCTGAGAAGTTTGACAATCTGATGGCTCATTCTGCCGCAACAACTAAATCAGAAGCAGCTACTGAGGATGACAAGAAATGACAAACTTCATATAGCAGCATCAATGTGGGATTATTGTAGTTAATATATTCTGTTTTGTTTTTTTTGTTGTAATATTTGCATTCATGGACGTAAGTAAATAGGGGAGTAGACAAAGGGTCGTGGAGTTACAATGCAATGAGTGGATCAATGTTGTAGGACACATATTTCCATTATAACTTTAGATTGTATTTCTTTATACAATATATATACAATGATTGATGAATCATAAGTTTGCCATTTATGTTCTTTTTTTCATTTCATAATTTTTTTAGAGAAGTCATTTTTCCATTCAAAAAGATGTAATTTTTCAGAGAAGTCATTTTTCCATTCAAAAAGAATTAACGCGCAACTTGTTATCCGTTTACTATATATAATAGTATGCTTTTTCAAAACAATAAATATCCAAACACTTTTTTTTTCAAATCATAATAGTACTATCAATTTGGTTTTACAAAAGACCATTTCAAACACTAATTTGGTGACATAAAATGGTATCAAAAACACAATTGTTGGATTTCATGTCATTATATTAAACACTAGTTTGATGAAAGTAAAAAATAATATCAAAAGCATCCCGATAAAACACCACAATTGATAACTCTGCATACACATCTGATTACAAATGTGTGCATTTTTGAACCTGCTGCGACATCTCACCTTTAAGAGATAAAATTCTGGTGATTAGACTATTAGACCAAAAAACATATCAAAACTCAAATGCTTGATTTTTGAATTCCATGTCAGATAAAGACAGGTTGAATGTACCTACTTTTACTGAGATCAAAATGGACAGCAGTAACAAATCGACTGAAGCATAAATGAGCAACTAAGTAAGCATTCACTGAGTAGCACGTTTACTTTGTTATAAGCAGGTTTTTCCCCAATCAATTTGAGGTTTCCAACATCCTTGCAGAAAGAAACATACTAATTGACTTGAGAAACAAAAAATAATTCCAGTACTTAATGTGTCATTGAACAAAGCTCATTGGAGTATATCTATAAAATGAGGAATATCTGCTAGGAAATTAATTCACATTAACCTCAAATAAATAACATAAATCATTTACTTGCAATTCTAAGCTATGAACCTATGGAGCCTAAAAATAAATAGTAATAAAGAGGACATGAAGCCTTTGGCAGAAAGAAAACATAACATGTCTAGATGGGAGCAGCACATGTTGTTCTAAAGTGGCCTGTTTGATTGCAACGACTACAATGCACCACTCGCTTAACACGCCCACGATCTTCTGCACGAACTCTCTTCTTTCTCGGCCGTCCAGGTGGTCTGAGTGATTTAGGTGGGTTGATTGTAACTTCAAGAGCTTGGCTAACATTAGCATCTCCTTCAGACAACTCCTTCCAAAGCGATTTATCAGGAATTGGATGTATGGTTTGTGAGTACGTTTTGCGATAAGTTGCAACGGTGAAACAGCTTTCTGTGAACCTATGCACATTCTGCCTGCAGGATAGAAGCGCTGCCACGGCATGTGCACAGGGCAAGCCATAAAGCTGCCAACCACGACAAAGACAGCAGCGGTTTCTTATATCAACTATATTAGTTCCCTCGTGAGATATAACTTCAAACTCAGCTTCGTTGGCACGAAGAACCTGATAAGTGCGTGCACGTTCTAGAGCCTCTGCAACACTTCTCTCCGCTGAAGGAACGAGTATGGATGTCCACTGCATACTGGTTTCTCGGCGCTCATTGAACCAAGTCATTAGCTGTCTTCTAATGCATTCCATCATTTGAATTATTGGGAGCCCAGATGCATCCAATAACCAACTGTTTAAATCTTCAACTATGTTTGCTGTCAAATGACCAAACCTGTGCCCCTCAAAATAAGCAGTAGCCCACAGACGAGGTGGAATTCTTCGAATCCAATATGCAGCATCTTGTGATACCTCTTCGATTTCCAAAACTTTAGCTTCAAATTCAATTATAGTTAGACAATTGGCTGCATCCCATAGAAGATTGTACAGCAAGCTGTTATTAAATTCCTTACGGAAGCTGTCACCCAAGTGGCGCATGCAAAATCCATGGAAAGCAGTAGGAAAACGTGCCTCAACGCCATCCACAATTCCTTGCTGTCTATCTGACAAAATAGTAAGCCTTGGCATGTTTTCAGTATTAACCTCAAGCAGGTTATGAAGTTCAGTCAGAAACCACATCCAATTATCATCATTCTCGTCATCGACAACACCAAATGCAAGAGGAAAGAGAGCCCCGTCACCATCAAATCCAGTAGCAAAAAGTAATGTACCAAGATACTTGCTCTTCAGATATGTTCTATCAAGCCCCAAGAGTGGCCGACAAGCATTCAAAAAGCCATATATAGATGCTTGAAAAGAAATAAATAGACGTTGGAAGCAATTATCAGTTGGATTTCCATAAACAGATGCAATACTGCCAGGGTTTGTGCGCTTCACCTGTGCACAGTATTGTGGAAGCAAGCGATATCCTTCTTCAAAAGATCCACGCATTGCAGCCATAATACGCTCTTTGCCTCTCCATGCTTGTTTGTATGATAAGGTGATGCCATGGACCATATGAATCTCTTCCAGTATCTCCTTTGGCTTGCAATTGGGGTTCTCCTTCAGCCTTTGCTCCACAGAGTTAGCAACCCATTGAACTGAAGCTTGCTGATGACCAAGATGAGAAATTCCTCCACATGTATGACACTCATGAATTGTTCTGATGGTAAAAGTTGGAACCCCTGGGAGCTTTGCTGCATGAATGCGCCAAGGACATCCTTCGCTAGCACACTTGGCAGTAAACCGCGTTTTATCAGATTTAATAGTCTGCATCTCAAAGTGCAGGGCGATTGCCGTATTCCTCAATGCCCTTCGACAACTCTTGACATCAGGAAACTCTTGGCCCACTGACAATTCATAAGTTGGACTTATAGCAAGTGTACGAGCCTGAATTACATGGGGTTCAGAAGAAAGCATAAACTGTGACGGTTGAATACTCATATCATTCTCAGAATCAGTCCCCATCTCTGGGTGTGGAATCACAGTCAAGTCCATGTTATCATCAAACCCTTGATGTTCAAAAACAGTCAGATTATTGTTCTCTGATAAGTCCATCTGATGGTTTTGTCCAGGAAGGGGCGACTCATGGTTATCAAGCCCAGGTTTTCGATCCATCCCCAGCTCATGCTCATAAGCTTGACCATCATCACCTTCTTGATCATGATTTTGTTCTATCCCCAGATCATGATCATGTCCCAAGTCCAGCTCATGCTCATGTCCTAAATCCAGTTCATGCTCATGGGTCTGACCCATGTCCAATTGATGCTCGTGAGGCGGCGATCCTAGCTCCAATCCATGATTCTCATTCTCATTCATCCCCAAATCATGATTATGACCCATCATTGATTGATGATGGTCATGACCAAGCTCCAAATTGTGATTTTGCCCGAGTATCAAATCGTGATTAGCCATCGAAGATATAAAAAAATCTCTACTTCAAACAACAAAAACCCTGATCAGCTTACAATACAAATCACCGCTTTATGACTGAGACACAGTTGCAAAATCCCACAAACAACAAAAGATGACCCAAAGAAATAGCATCAATCTTCAGTCCAACTCATGAATGTTACAAACCCTGAATTATATGCACCAACAGAAACCTACAAGACAGAAAAAGAAGAAGAAAAAAACCTAAGACATAGTTTACTCAAAGACTATAGTAACTTACATTAAAACATAAAATCACAAACACCCATTAAACAGAATTGAATAGATTGAATTAAAAATACAAACTTTAGTAAAACCCATGAGAATTCACAACAAAAAAATAATAATCATAATAAATAAAATAAAATAAGAGCGTTCACCTTATAGTGAAGAGTATCGGATCATGGTCTTAGGTTGAGAGCAATGAGATACAAATCAGGAACGAACGAAAAAGGGTTTTTGTGGATCGAGAGAGTGTTTGAAAAGAGGTTGATTGAAAATTGGCGGGCAAGTGTGGGAAATCGGAAAAAGAAGAAGAAGGGTAAGGAGAAGAGAGGAAAGGGTATGAGGTTGCGAGGGTTGAGAAGGGAAATCCAGTGCTCAGGCTATCCACAAAAAGAGGGTATTTAGGTCAAACAAATCGATGCCTCTTCTTTTATCGGTTTCGAGGATTTAATTTACGCTTTTGTCCTTCATGTGTTTTTTTTTTTTTGTGTCAGGCCCATTGTTTATTGACCACCATTTATATAGCCCATTGTGTATTATTTTTTGATTTGATTTTGAGATAGTAAAAATAATATATGCTTTTGACCATTAAAAAAAAAAGGAAAAAGAAGAGAAAAATATGCTAATTGCCTAATATAGTTGTATAAAGATATATTAAAAAATGGATATTATAAATTTTATTATATACTTTGTTTGATGTGCATCAATAGTAAAGTATATAATATATATATAGTTGTAAGACCAAGTTCAATGATGCAAATAAAACACAGGTTGATTTTTGATATTTTATAATATTTAAATGAAGAAAGTATTTTTGTGATTTAAATCATTTTAATTAAACAAAATTTCATATTTTAATGTTTATTTTGGATTTTATTATAATATTTTTAAATTTAATTGTAATTTTGAATTTTGATCCTTAAGGATAAAATAAGTTTTTGGTCCTTCTAAATATCTCAAATTTCGTTTTTAGTCTCTAAATTTTTCCTTCAAAAAATGGTCCTCCTTTAATTTTTGGTCTCTTCTGACAAAATTATAGCTAAAATAGTCTCTAATTTCGTCGCTAAATAAAAATCATCGTTAAAATCGTTGCTAAAACCGTCGCTAAGTTGTAAAAACCGTCGCTAAGTTGTAGCAGAGACCAAAAGTTAAAATTTAATTTTTTACAAGGATCATTATTTGAAGAAAAAATTTAGAAGGACTAAAAATAAATTTTAAAATACTTAGAAGGACCAAAAACTTATTTAACTCTTTTATTAATTTTTAAAACATTATATGTCATTTGCTAATTAAATAAATTATTGTATGTTACA